GGACACGCAAGCGGGAACTTATTTGACCTCAACATTGGATTATCGGAGGAACCCTCATCTCCACCCGAAGAACCTCTTCGGGAGCCAGGTGCAAATGGTGCTGAAACGGGATTATTCGTTGAACATGACTCACCACAGTTTAACGTACATTCTGATGATGACGAGGATGACGTTCCGATAAATACAACACCAGCCGAACTTCCTGCACATATGTATGAGGCTGATTATGATGCAATGTATGAGCCTGAATTTCCAGATCTTCCTGATGTTGGCAACTATGGACTTCAATCATCAGTCAATGACGGTAATTTACATATTGGAATGGAGTTCGCATCGAAGGAGGAAGCAATGATGGCAATAAAGAGTTACAATATTCGTAACTCAGTTCAGTCCCGAGTTGATCGATCTAACACGGTGAAATATGCCTGCTACTGCGTCCAACGTCACAACGGATGTCAATGTATGGTCCGTGTATCAAAGAGGAAGAGGAAGAACAACTTATGGGAACTAACCAGATACAACGGTCCTCATACATGTTGTGCAACAGGTATAAACCAGGATCATCCCAACTTGGACTCCAACATTATTTGTCAAGCAATCATGCCCATTGTGAAGCAAAGCTCTCATATAGCTGTTGCAGTGTTGATTTCTGCTATACAGTCACAATATGGGTACACTGTCTCATATAAAAAAGCGTGGTTGGCAAAACAGAATGCCATTTGCAAACTTCATGACGAATGAGATTCCTCTTACAACGAGCTGCCCAGTTGGTTTCATGTTGTGCAAAGACTTAATCCGGGGACAATTGTTGAGTTCGAAACTCAACATCATTACGTGAATGATCGAATGGTTCGCGATCGCTACCAATTTTACCGAGTCTTTTGGACTTACCCTCAGTGTATTAATGCAGTCAAGTACTGTAAACCAATTGTCCAAATTGATGGTACTTTCTTGTATGGGAAATACAAGCAAGTTTTATTATTGGCTGTGGTCCAAGATGGAAACCGCAATATTCTTCCTGTTGTGTTTGCCCTCGTTCAAGGAGAAGACACTGAGTCTTGGGTTTTTTTCCTTAAAAATTTACGTTTACATGTTGTCACCAGGGAACGAGTATGCATTATTTCAGACCGAGGAGTCGGGATAAAAGCAGCAATGGACTCTTTGGGTACAATGTATAGACCTCCACATGTTCAACATCGTTATTGTGTCTGTCATATTGCTGCAAACTATTACGGAAAATACAAGAAGAACGATGAACGTCAGTTAGTCGTGCGGATGGGTATGTTACTTTTTCCCAAATTTTCTATCAATTTCTTATTACTTATTTATACTTCATATTAACTATTACATATTCCTAATGGCTTCGGTTACGAACTCTTACCTCAAAGGTTTGAGTCGATGCTACAAGAGCTGTTTGGCAAAAATAAGAAGGGATGCGAGTACATTATGGACATCAGCAAAGAAATGTGGACAAATGCATATGACGGGGGGTATCGCTATGGTCATATGACAACAAACTTGGCTGAAGCAATAAATTCAACCTTAAAGGGGGCGCGTCATTTACCAGTCACGGCGTTGGTTAAAACGACTTATTTTCGTTTGGGTCAACTCTTTGCAAAGCTCGGTGGACAAGCTCTTACTTGGATGCAAAACGGACATATTTACCACCCAAGACTAGTAGTTGATTTATAGAAAAAAGTGGCTGCATCAAATAGGATGTTAGTTACAAATTTTTCTCGCACCCGTGAATTGTTTCGTGTAACCGAAATGCCACGTCCGCTGCAAGGGATTGAAGCTAACTCTTTCAGAGTTAATCTGCAAGAGAGGTGGTGCGATTGTGGTTTCTTTCAAGCACTCAAATATACATGCTCTCATGTCATTGCTGCTTGCTCACATTCGCATTTGGACTACAAAAATTATGTTGATCCCGTATACCAACTTTCACAAGTATTCAAGGTATATGAATTTGAGTTTCCGCCCATAGGAAACGAAAGAGACCCAAATGAGATTCAAACTTGGCTTACAATTGTACCAGATCCATTGCTATTGAGGGACTCAAGTCGTCCAAAATCTACTAGAATACATTGTGATATGAATATTCGGGAGAAGTCAACAGAACAAAAACGATGTGGGCATTGTAGAAACATCGGGCACAATAGAAAAAAATGTCCAGCTCTGTTATCATCATATAACCGTTAACTCTTATGTAATTAATATTGTATTTAAATGAATGTTTTTGTTTCTAATAATTTAATGTTATTGCATTTATATAATTTGTCAATGTATGTACACCTAAATAATTTTTTTAACTTTTAAATACATAAATATATTTAATATATTTATTTAATATAATAATTAATATTATTAGTTATAATTTTTTTTAAAATATAATAATAATTCTACCTTTTAAGTAGAGAAAAATATTAAATTACACAAATTAAAAGTTATTAAAAAATTTATGTATACGATGACACATTTCATGTTCTGATTGGAGGATTAAATTTATTAAATTAAATTTTCAATAAGACTAATTTTATAAAATATGTAAGTCTTGAAGATTAAATATGTAATTATACTAATTTATTAACTTATGCATCAATATTTTCGTTAAATATTGATATGAGATGACTAGATTGATAACATTTAAATAATTAACTGATAAAATTAATAGATCGATAATCAAAATCAAAAATAATAATATAACCATATGTGTAATATTATAATTTCATACATTTTTCCTATAACTACAATAAAGTCAAAACTGGTTTTCATATATTGTTATATCATATTAATGTAGATAATTCACTCCACCTTTAACACATATTAACAAAATACATTTGATAATTCTTACATTATAATCGAAACATTTTACATAATATATTATTAATTTATAATAATAATAAAAATAAACTATTTATTATAAAACAAAATACGTGTCTGCTGAGTTGGCAACGCGCCTTCCACACGTGGCATCCAACTCAACGAAAACACGGGTAAAGCGCGTCCCCGGGGACGCGCCTTTGCCAACTCAGCAGAAAGGGTGCTACTTCTGGAAATATTGGTCAAACGGTGTCAGAAAGGGAAAATTTAAAGCAAACGGTGTCAGTTATGTAATTTAGCCCAATATCTTGACACTGATCAACCGTCGTATAACTATCGACTATGGGTCTCCTCCCAAACCAGTAAAAAGTGAACTGCCACCTGTCAAATTAACCATATTTATTCTATCAACAAAGCTCGTTTAAAATATAAAATAAATTCGGAGTCTCACATTCCAAGTCCAAATCTAAAATGTGTCCTAAATTCTATTCACATTGAATCATTGAGTATTTTTTTCCCTTATTTTCCATCACAATATAAGTTAAATATAATATTTTATCATAATATAAGAAAAATCTTTTGCCTCATGCAATCAACAGGTTCAATCCCCATCATAAGCTCCTTTCATGTTTTCTCTTAATTTTCTGTCTAGTAATCCACATTCAACCCTTCACATGCATGAAATAATGATATGGGAATTTAATCCCAATCCAGTCAAGTCAACTACAATATGAATAGTCAAACAAAACGGCTAAATTGCAGTTGAGACAAAGTATAAATGAAGAAGCTAGGAATACCTCATTTATTAAACTAACAAAAGTCAACTTATATTATCATTAATGGCTCACTAACAAATTTGTAGCAAACTTCATTGCAAACTTACGCACACCATAAGAAAAAGGAACTTATCTTCCTTAGATGCATCATGCATGTGAACCAAGGCAAGCAAAATGTTGATCTTTAGCCTCCTCTCTCCTTTGTTCAGATGAGTGCAGGGGTTAAGATTTGGCTGGACCAAACATACTCCATTCATCGGTTCCGATTCGTAATTAATCAGAGTTATATTGCCATGCCAAGCCAATTCAAGTCAAGCCATACACCAGTTTTAACAATATCCTCACCAAGATGGAGGTTTTATGGGCAATTTCCTGTCAGCATATAATCCCCCTTCATTCTTGTTCTTAGATTATGCAGTTATGCTACCTACATTACCTACACTTTCCATTTTCTTATTAGACTCGCATCCGAAACATAATCAGACACTACAATGAGATTAAGATCCTCCAAATATTTATAATCTAAGAAAACTTGAGCATACGTATGACGGACACATACCCATTTCCAACTTCTAACCTTGAATTTGGATAACTTAGTATGTGCTATAACATACTAGCACTATTCATCCTTGCATCTCATTTCTAGTTCAACATGAACAGCTAGCTGTTAAGAAGATATGGAAGATCCTAAAAGTAATATATGATAAGAAAAGGAATCATTCATGCATATGTCCCCCTAAAACAGATCCAACAAAATGGCTTTGGCTTCAAGTAAAGGTCAAACAAATTAGCATATCTGCTTCAAGAGGAAACAACTCCTTGAATACATAAACTTTGATAACCAGAGTAAAGAAACATTTATCGAGTCATTGCTTCATTCCAAAGCTATCAACCTTCGGTATGAATACGCTACAGTAATCCCGACTAGGGTTGTCAAGGGTACAACACGCAGTCTAAGCACTAAACTCTAAAGTGTAAAGAGTGGTCCATTCATCTACATATGATCTTTTTTGTTGATCAATATGCCTGATTTCCGTATGGTCCATGTCTAATGTTGAATACTCAAATTACCGTCCCTTCTTATTAATAAAGGTACATCTAATAGAAAAAGTGAAAAATAAGAGAACTTAATCGGACAGGTTCTTCTATGCATATTATCTTAAAAAAAAAGCATGCCTAAACGAACAAATGAGTGAATGCGCACCAAACCAAATACACTTTTCCCGCTCGAAAGTGTCCGAGATGCTTTTGCCAAATGCTTGGGAACATGCCGAGATTAGGATGACACTGATCTCGGCAGCACGTACTTCTCTAATATGTAACCGTAAAGAAAAAAAATTACCACTTAATAAGAAAACAAAAAGAATATAATCCGAAATTGCTTTATTTTGTCAAGCACTTTCCTTTAACCAAACTGGAAGCTAATGTTTTCTCACTGTTCTCTAATAAAATTCTCAACAAGAGTTGGCATTTAACTTAAAAAAGGCATCTTTAAAACTAACCAAAAATCCTACCGACTCTCCTACTTTTACTAAACCAAAAAAGGTTAACATAAAGAAAGCTAATAAAAGCTTAAACTTACATTGCAATGGCGGATAAATATGTCCTTGCAAACCACCCTTTCCCCCAATAACCATTACTGGAAAACTTCATAAAAACCCTTTACTAAGCTTCTGAATCGCACAAAAAATTTTCCTCCTAGATCCAACAGCATTGATCCCCATATCCTTCAAATCTTCCAATGTCAACAACTGCAAAACCTCATCATCCACTTCATGGATCTCGAAAAGAGGGGCGTACCTTCCTAAACCCAAACCATTCAGCCATATTGTAACCCCATCTTCTGAAGGTCCAGTCATTGGCCTCCTCTGGTTGTTCCCATGGTAAACCACTTCCCTTTCATTTCCATGGATACCCAAATTATCCAAACAATGAATCGGGCTCTGTTCTTTGATGGGACTCTCCGAATTCTCCATATCGAAACCGTCGTTATCTTCGCCGCCACTGTATTTTTCATCCGTTTCATTGTTGCCGTTGATATTGACGTTGTTGCCACCGCTGGAATCGTCGAATTTGAGAACCCAATTGGATCGGATTCGTTTCGTGGCGGGGGCCCGTTTCTTGAAATCCTTGACTCTCCAGCTACCAATTGCAACGCTATCTAAATTGTTGTTGTTGTCTTTGTTAGCTTCTCTTTCGTCGTCGAAGGTTTCGTTGTTGGGTTTGGTAACAGCACGAGTTTTTGAGGAATAAGAACCGACGCAGGCAACGGAGGAAAGGTGGGGTTGGTGTTTCCATTGCTTAGAGGCGGCGGAAGAGGAGGAGGGCCTTCGTAAATGAGAGTCGTAGGTTTGGTCACCGCCGATGTCGCCTAATCGAACGCTGGGACGTCGCTGGCGTTTGGATCCGACGGCCTCGGATGAAACGACGGGGACGGTGGGTGGTACGATGCCGTTTAACTGGGCATCTGATTGCTGTATATCCGCCATAGGAACTGGCTTTTGGGCTTCGGGCGGGGAGTCAGTGAAATAAAATGGAATTGAGGTTGGAGAAGCAGTGAAAGTTGTGTTTGTGAGCGACACGTGTCCTCCTTTCCTACCGGAAGGGAGCCATAGTGACTTTTGGAGTTAATTGCTTAATATGTCTCAGACTATGATATCCATTTTAATTTAGTCTCTAAACTTTTAATTATTCCAATTTAATCTCACAACCATGATTTTAAATCAATTTCTAGGTATTTGACATTCCTTATGGGGGTGGAAAATCACTTTTCCATTATTAAAGCATTTCTTATGGGGTGTTTGACATATGTAGTATATGTTGAAAAACTTTCAACACTTTGATAATGAACGATCAAATTCTTGTATATTTGGTGCTCGAATTTGAGACCTCAAAGGACAACAACAAATCTTGTAAATGATCATTTAGTTAATGTAACTTAATAAAATAGGTTAATCTTATCAAAATAACTAAAGTTTACTAAATTTTCATTTTTAAAAAAATCAACTTAATGATTTGTTTTGTTACAAAATTCAATTCATGCTATTAACACAGATTTGTAATCTTATTTTAGTGATTGAAAAGAAATTTTATCCATCTCGAGAGATGAAATTCGACTATATTTGGAGGAGTTTTATGTTTTCAAATTGATAAAATCTAAATTTGATTTGAATTTAATTATTAATTAGTTAATTTGAGTTAATTCTTATAATATAATTCAAATAATTTAAAAAAATTGAAAAATATTTTAAAAAAAAGATCAAAACGAGTTTTACTCACTCATATAGTCATATCTATGTAAATTCAACACATTATCGATTTTGTCGAATTTCTACAAACATGTATAGAAATTGAACAATTTTATGTATCTGTAACTAGGGGTTGATGCACTAAGCCTCACAAAGGGTAAAGTGCATCCCATTATTTTAGAAGAATGATTAAACATAGTTTAACGTATTAAGGAAAAATAGAATTTTTGCATATCTATTATTTTTAAAAAATATTAAAATTTTAGATCTTTTTTCTTAAATTTCTGGATCTCCATAGGGGTAGAGATGTCTTCTTACAATATGATCGAATGTCAGTTATCTTTTCAACATTTTGGCTAATTTTTTTCTAGAGTATTTTGTTAACCAACGTTTCATTTTAAGGTAATTTTTTTTTAAGTGTTAACCATTTGTTAACTAACGTCTTTCATTCACGTATGGACCTTTTATCCCAAAATGAAACATCAATGATAAAATACTTAAAAAATATATAGACTAAAATTATTATTTAATTAAACTTTTTTTACGTTATACCTTTCTACTGCATACCAAATATTATAAAATAATTTTCTCAACATTCACATGACAACAACAAACGAACACAACTGAAACAGATTAGTAATGCCTTAAATGTAAGACTAATGCACAAAGTATGAATCAAATAACCATGTATGCAAAACAATAGAATACAATCCAAATGACAACTGATGCTCTCATTTTGTGGGCATTGATCAACACTATTATTGCCCTAACAATAACTAAAAGGGAATCCCTTGAACTACTAAAGGGTATCATCTTCTTTGAAATGAACTGTATCTCCTTCATGCCTTTTCTGTGGCCGGAGTAGTAGCAGCACCGCCGGTGGTTGGCCTGAAAATAAAAAATTGCATACGTTGAGCTTCTGATCTCAAAGATATGAAACTTGTGAGAAGGTAAAACAAAATTCTCAAAGAGAAAACTTACAGGCCAACGAAAACTTTAAACGAATCGTAGATTCCCCATTGTGTTCCGGTAAGGGTTCCGATCATCAGAATACGAAGGGGTAGGCCACGAGTAAAAAGACCCCACACTCCAAGCCTCTTCACCGCCTGCAAACCAAACCCAAAGTTATATATACACTTCCGATTTCTAATCATGGGATACTTTTCCATATATATATAAAAAAGGCATAATTACAATTAACCCTCAAAATGTATTTAAACGGTCATTTTAGTCTTTTTTTTCCTTATGTATTTTTAGTTGTTAATATTTTAATTTATTGTCTGAATAATTGTTGTTAGATAAAAATCGTTAGTTGATTAACGATTAAGAAATATCATTAATGTGATATTTCCATATATATTTATATGATATATTACTTAAAATAATGATGTGACATATATTATGACACTCAAAATAATATCTTAATATATGTCATATTATTATGTATCACATAATCTAAAATGATGATATGATATATATCATATAACTTAAAGTATTGATTTGACACACTTCACGTCATCAATTAAGTATATACTACATTAACAACATACAGTAATCATTAATCAACTAACGATTTTTATCAACATAAATTAATTTGATCAAAAATTGAAATATGGTTAAAATACTCTAAAAAAAATAGAATAAGAGTCAAAGTGACCAATTAATTAAACAATGGAGGCTAATTTCGTCATTATGCCTATAGAAATTATCGAAAGTAAATGGTGATTTGATATTATTGGGTCCTTGAAAAGTTTGTCAAAAATTAGTCATATGATCGAGTATCTATTAATTTAATATGTGTTTAATAATAAATTAAAATTAAATTCAAGAGTCAATTACGAATAATATAAATTATTGATCATCAAAACTTGAGACTCAAATAGTATGTACTTACATCACCAACGGTTGCGCCTTTGGCATTGTTAAGAAAGGAGACAAGGTTGTCAGCAGGATGTGATACGACAGCACATAAAACACCAGCAATGTATCCACCAACAAAGCTCACCCCAAGTTGCACAGATGTACTGCACTGCTCTTTGGGTGTTGGGATGGAATACTTGTACATTAACTCAACAATCGTTTCGAACGACGCAAATTTCATCATTGTATCTGCGAATACAAACCAATTCATTTCATTCCAAATTTCCAAACATGTCTAACAAAACGTAAACAAATTTAGCTGGCTTACATGGAATCTGTCGTCCCCAAAGTGGAACAATTCCTTTGTACAACCTATACGAGCAAGCAACATTATATAAACATGTGTAATATAAGCCCATTTAAAGTGCATTATTGAGGCTTTAGTTTGAGCACGATATTTATAAGGGTATTTGAAATATATATTATATTATATTTATTCTAAATTAGTAAAAAAAAGTGTGTTATTGAAAGATATCATACCCGGCAACGCCTTCGGCTTTCACGATCTTGGGTAATCCATCAGATAAACCTCGTGCGAACCCGGGTTGAGTTTGCACTCGGACTTTGACGGCTTCCATGGGACAAAGAGCCACATCGGCAATCAACTCGGCCGATGCCGAGCCGGCGAGATATATGAGGGTTTTGTATTTGGATGCATATTCAGGGCCGACGATGTCGGAATAGTACTTCTTGAAGAACTCGTAGAAACCATATTTGAAAGCACCTTGAGCACTGTAACCCAACAGTGTTGGTGCCCAACCCTTGTATAGCCCTTTAGCTCCTTGCTCCTTCAGCAGTACTCCAAACCCGGATGTGGTGCTCTTGTACTTTGCCGGATCAATCTGGGAATTTCAACGTCATTAGTATTAATTAAGTTGATTCTATTCTTTATTTTTCTTTAATATTCTTAATGAATATTTAACCCCGATATTTAAATTTTTGATGTTAGAGTATTTTCTTTAAGAAAATACCCTATCATATCCGGAGATGAATATCTAACGTCATTAGTATATTTTTCTTTAAAAATTTTAAATTTAAATTTTTGATGTTAGAATATTTTCTTTAAAATCTCAGTGATAAGAAGGTGAAGAAAAAGGAGACAAACTATATATTATGATCCTACATTGATTAAACAATAAAAATTGTAGATCAGAATTATTTTCTTTCAAATTTTAAGTTGAAATTTGGAGAATTTTAATTTGTTTTTGAGAAAAATCTAAATTAATGAAGTGGTAAAGGATGATAAGAAGGGGTTGGTTAGTATCTTGAGTAGTCGAAGAAAATACCAAAGAGCGACGATGTCAATGACAGTGTAAGAATATAATGGAATTCTAAAAGTTAAAATTGTTAGAAAAATAACGAAATGTGAAAAATAAAAAATAGAGAGAAAAATGAGGTGACTTTCACGATAACATAAACATTCCATAACAGAAAAAATATATATATATTATATCACCCTTCTTTTATGATTAATATTTTTTTTGAAAAATCTATTGATCAAAACAGAAAATAATTAAAGTTGAGTGATAAAAGGTATAATCTACTCTAATATTAATATAAACTAATAATTAAAATCCTGACTAATAAAACAAAAATTCAATTAAAATTATTAAACTACTCTTATTTTGAATTATAATTAATAAGATCATGATGATATTTTTCATTTATACGTATATTAAATAAATAATAAAATATATATTTAATAAATTTTATTTGATTTAGGAGGATGGTTGAAAACATATGAGTTTTGCATTGACCGTGTGACCTTAAATTATTGGAGCAGCCTTAAAAGGTTGAAAAGGACTAATCGTAAACGCCACTGAAACCATCAAAGGGAATAAAAAAAACAAAAAACGCGATAAATATTTAAGGGACGATTTAATTAAGGTTAAAAAAGACATGGAAATAACTCAACCAAAAATATTATAAAGACAACATTTTCAGTTGATCGTAACTTAAAATGTTAATTTTTTTTTAAACTTTTTTCGTTTACACCTTCTTTATAATATTTTTTTAATAACATTTTCAATTATGTATATTCTATATCATTCTTTAGTTTTAAATTAGATTGTCATACGGTAGAACTTCCTCAAAAACGTGTTTTAGAATTAATAAAATGGTTCCAAAACTTGAGGAGCAAACCGCCAACCAAACAACCCTCAAATTCAAAACAATGATTTAAATAATAATAATAATATGTTATTAAAATAACAGTCGTTATATAATAATAAAAATATCGTTGGAAGATTTTATTTCATGATTATTATATTTGTAATGATCATTATAGTATCAACTATTACCGCAATCATAATAAATATATCATAATCGAAAATGCAATCACAGTTTAAATATTTTATCCCAAGCAAACTAGTTGAAGGGCATTTAATCCAATATCATTTATTGGGATGAACGGAAATAGGATAAACACAGATGGTGAATTGTATGATATAAATGAATAATGGGGATTAAGAATGGAAATACCTGCATATTACACTTGACAACATCCATAGGCGTGACGGCGGTGTGAGTAATGCCGCAGCACAACATCCCGCCCACAGTACACGCGGCGTAAAATGCCGGAGAGAACATCTCGATCTTCCGTTCCTTGGGCGACGCTATCACAAATCTACTCCCTCTCGCCGGCAGCACATGATGATTGGAGTCCAAACCCAGAAGACGTTTGGCTGAGGAAGGGGTGGAATAGAGAAAGCTAGGAAGAAGAGATTGGCGAGAATTATCAGACACCACCACCATTGTTTCTTCCCTTGTGGTTAACTGTGATTTGTTGCAGTTTGCAAAACGCACATCAGATGAACTAATTTAAAGCAAATTTGCATTCGCAAAACTGCTGAGACTTTTTCAACAAAAGGTTCGTTCAGAATTTGCCAACTCCTCCAAATTGGTCAAATTCTGTTTTCAGTCCTAATACTGTAGTTCAACATTTAGTCCCTATATTTGCATTTCTGCATTCCGGAATGTTTGAAATTGTAAGAAATCCAGAATGTTTGACTCTTCTGGTCCATCCATTGAAGCCGCCATTAATGGGATAACGTGTTTTAGTTACTTTCAAACCACCAAGCTCCTTCCTTCCACTTTCCTCCTCATGAGAAAAAAAAAGTTTCGAATTAGTCGAATTTTATTTCATTATCATAAATCAAGATGAAGTTTCTAACACTTAATTGAATAAAAGAACTTGATTTTTTCGAATAGAATCTTATTCACCACCCTAGTACTGACCATTGATGTAACACCCCAACCCGTATCCGACCCGGATACGAGTCCGAAGTGTCACATTGTCTTTTCAAACATTTATTCATATAAAATAGTGAGTAATTTAAAAACTTTTATAACATTGAACTTATTCAAAACGTTTACAAAACTATTCAGAGCTTATACAATATATATTCTTTTGATTACATGCCAACTAAAACTTTATTTATTAAAATACGTATTATTCACCTCTTTTCTGATCTGACATTTGGTAAGGAGAACTGACCGGTCTTGCTCCATATTGCTTTTTACTCTTCTCGAAACCTACGTGTGAAACAATCACACGCTAAGTCGTTGACTTAGTGAGGCATATAAACATATAATAAAAACCATAGAACATTTCATATAACAAAACACATACCTGTACAAATACTATCATTATCATTAATATATCTATCATATAATATCATACATTTTTCCAATTAATACCCATTTCATCCGATGAATATGTATTCTAAATATTTGATCATGACATTTCAATATGCATGTATCTATTACATGATAACATATATAATCATATCATGCACATACGAAACTTACCTTCTTGTACCACTTTCACTTTAAAGTTTGTATTTTAATTGCCCATGTATATTATTGAGAATAGAGGTATGTGAGTACATTGAGGTTGTGCACTATTGCTGTCACCACAGCTCGTATAAGTCCCACTGAGTGGCATATGAAATTTGTCCCGAAGGACCTGTGAATTTGTCCCGAAGGACCTATGAAACCCTCGACTCTTGGCATGCCAACTATACCTATAGCTCTCATATCATATACTATGGGCATTATTCTCATGTTTCATATCACTTGTTCCTTTTCTTCTGTCACATACCATATGTATGTGTGAACATACATCTCATATCATATAACCTTTATCTCAAGTGCATGTAATCACGTATTACATGTAATCACGTAGATCATTTCATATGGATTATATCATTTCTCATTTTTCATGTAAACACACATATCATATCGTATTCACATATGTTCATATATACATCATATATCACATAGAATAACATATAAACTTATACATATATTCATGTACATACTTTCATATAGTTCGTATATTAATACCCTATAACTTATCTCACATTGTTTATATCCTAGTTTCATATATTTACTCAATTAAATTTCACATAACTTGTTACCTATATATATATTCTTATAACTTATCATCACATAACTCCCATAACATCTTCCTATAGCTTCATAGATCTTTACTATATGACTCATATATTATATGTTCATTTAAGCCCATAACTCTTCCCATATAGCTTATCTTACATGTTCATATAATCACTTCTGTCAATGCCTCCTAATTTATATATTATTTTCATATTGTCCTATAGGTCAATGTTATTTAACTTGTCTCACTTTTCATTTCATCTCATAAGTTGGTTATACTAATTCTCATATATTTAACTCGTGTAATTTATATCTTGTTATTATATCTTCAACTAGACCTATATCCACATGTTCATAATCACATAACTTATATTCTTTTTCATATAATCACATATGTCTATGTCGTTTAACTTATCATTTATATCAATATCATCTATTTTATATCATTTTCTCTTGCTATCACATAAATCCTTGCTATTTTTACATAGTTCGTGATCCTATAATCAATTATAATATCATATGTTTATCTTATCTAATATCATATAGTTCTTTAACTTATGTCCTATGTCACATATTTATATTATAAACTTATATAATCACATATACTATTTAAACCCGTTCACATAACTTATCACACTAACATATATTCATTCAATTCATGTAACATATGCAATACATATAACATATGTACCCATTTTCATGCACTCATGCAAACATAAGAATCACAATTCAAATAACATTTTTAGGAGTCCCTTCTTACCATAGTGACTCCATCACTGGCTCATCGCAAGCCAATGTTTATTTGATACATAAGTACAATTTAAATTGCACTCACCTGGGCCTCGTTGTTTGAATCAATCCTAATCCTTAGTTTGTTTCGGAACAAGCTTTCATTCTATATCTACATAATAATACATTAATACTTATCAGTATACTGATTGATATATTCGAAACTATCACTCCTTAGGCTCAGAGAAAAGCCAATTTCATCTTTTAATGAAGGTATGCATCGATGCACAACTGATGCATCGGTGCATAAAATGCATTCGATGTTGTATTATTATTGGGATGCATCGATGCATGCCTTATGCATCGATGCACTAATTACATTCGATGTTTCTATTTTAAAAGAGTGCATCGATGCATTACCAATGCATCGATACACCTTCAAGAAATTTCTGGGTTTTAACCTTGATGCATCGATGCACTATGAATGTGCATCGATGCACTATGAATGTGCATCGATGCACTCTGCCCAGAATCCTCTTTTATGCCCGAAAATCCACTCTTTTCAGCTTAATACTTCATATATCATCCCCTTTCTTATTTTTAACTTACATACTCATATTCAGACTCATTCCTATTCATTAATCACCTCTTTAACATCAAAATCCTATTCTCCATATGAAATTCAAGAATTACACTAAATTTTCAACATGTTCCAAATTCAATTCTATTGCTTCTAGCTTCTTAATTATACCTTTGACAAGTCAAATCCATCTTTAGAACTTCAAAAACCTTTTTATAACAAAATTTCATTTATACACCCTTCATATCATTTCCTTTCTAATTCTCTATTCTTGATGTTTAAAGCTTATATAAGCTTTCCTTAAGCTTATATAATACACCAAGAATCAAAATCAACTTATAAATCCAAGAATTAAACAGCTGAAATTAAACTCACATTCAAATGAGGCTTACGGGAAGAAGAAGAAGCTGGAGAAGAAGACTCTGGATAATTCTCTCCTTTCCCACGTGTTTTATAACCCTAAAAGAAAGATAAAAATCTTTCTGGTCAAATGACCAATTTGCCCTTTATTTCCTTTAATAATTACTGAATAACCTTTATCATATTTCCAATAAGTCATTGAACTATTCAATTATCCTACTTTAATCACCAATTTCTGAAACTTTATAATTTGGTCACTAACCCGGTATTGATGATGTTACAAATCTTCCCTCCTTTAAAGAAAATTCGTCCTCGAATTTTCACTGAACAAATCAATAAGAACATATCTTCTATTGTTCTCATGTTACCTCATTTACTTACTTTTTCCTTCCTGTCTTTCTTCAATTGTCTTTTTCCTTTATACATTTATTTTCTGTTAGTTATCATAAACACAGTAACTCATAACCTCTATCCATTTCCTTGTACTTGTATTTTTCCTTCCTAAAGATTCCATGCAAATACTTATCTCCTTTTCTACATCATAGCTATCTAATTAGAATACACCACTATATTCAGTTTCACATCATAATTGATTAACACAACTTTATATTTTCCTCCAATCTTATAACTCTATCTCCTTTACTCTGACAACTATTCAATAACATATGTTCAATCTAGGGTACAAACCCTAATCAACCAAACACATACATCCTTTCAAATTGAAATTATCTTAAAATTCGTTTATTCAAACTAAACGTTCCGACTTCCTTTGTCTTATAATTTGATCATCGATATACCCATTCTTAAACTCTTCTTATCAATTCTCAGCTTTACTCAAATATACAACTGTATCCAGATTCATTTTATATTTGGTTATCATATCCTGAAAATATATATAATCTTATACTTCCAGTATATTCCCATCACATATTCTTGTTAGCCAACGCTAACTTTTTCCTTCTAGAATGCAAAACAGTATCTACATCACTTGATCCATTTAAAATACTTCTTATTCTTCACTTTATATAATTTCTAGCAAAACTCTGAATTCATTCCTCCACTTTCATATATATATATATATATATATATTTAACTTTCCATTCAATTATCCAGAACCAGACTCTACTACTTAAATGAGTCTGACTTTCCTCCAATTGATCTTTTATCTTGAAATACCACCAATTCCAATCAAGTTTGTAGTTGAAAATCATAATCTCTATCTCTCTTTGGTAGTGCTAATTTATGAAATACCAGTTCCCTTAATCATTCTGAGTTTTCTCCAAAACCTTAACACAATAACCACTTTTTGAAAAAGGAACCCATTTCAACACCTACAACACTCCTTTTAATCCATGCACCAGCCCTCTACACATCACTTGCATGCATCATTTTCATTTAAATTAGCTTCACAACCTTTCACTCTACTCATCAAACTGTACTCTTGTCCATACACATTACGATTTCCCCATGTATCAAACTCATAAACTCTAGCTTCATATACCTTATACACTTGTCACTGATGCACTTATCCTGGAACTCTTTTGCAATTCTCACTGCATCATTTGATCTTTTAACGCTCTTATGGTGACACTTGTTCACCATATTCTATCTTATCCACGTCCTAACAAAACTAATCCATATCGTTTTTACGATTCAAAACCATGAAGATCTTCTATCACTATTCTAATATGATTTCAACTTTCTGAA